TTTTCTGATGAAGGGTCTAGGCCCGAAACGTCAGCCTTTCTGCTCCTATGATGCTGCTTGGCCTGCTGTGTTCATCCAGCCCTGCACCTTGTTGTCTCGGATTCTCCAGCATTTGCAGTTCCTACTATCTCTGACTCAATCTAGTCTACCGCATTCACTGTTCACAATATGATCTCCTTTACATTGGGGAGATGAACAACAGACTGGCCACATCTCTGTGGAACACCAATGCTCTGTCCATAAAAATGGCCCTGAGTTTCCAGTTGCCTGCCCCTTCAACACAGCGCTATGTTCCCTGGCCAACATTCCTCTCCGACCTAATGCAGTGCTCCAGTGAGGCTTAATGCAAGCTGGAGGAACAACACCTAATCTTCACCTCACAACCTTCAGGGCTCAGCTTTCAGTTTAACAATTTCACTTTCCTCCATGTTGGTTATCCTCCTCTCACAGCTGTAGGTCCACCCCAGGTCTTTTTTTTAAAGGGCTGGTCCCAGCACAGACAACTCATTTTCAGCTGTTTATACTACGCGTTAGCCCCGTACTTGGTATTTACCTCTCTCAGCTTATCATCAGCAAGCTGTATGTTTGCCTATCCCTTTTTTCTGTCTCCCTCTCTGGGCATGGTCTCTACATACTCTATATATTCTTCACTGCCACCCCATCACCGCATAAATGCCCCTCTTTCCCAGCTATTTTCAGCCCTGGCTAAGGATCACTGGACTCCACTTGTTTTCTCTCTCCAAGGGCAGGACTTATACAGTTAATGGTAGGGCCTTGCGTAGTGTTGTAGAACAGAGAGGTCTAGGGCTTTTAAATTTGCATCACATGTAGAGAGGGTGATTAAGAAGGCATTTAGCACGCTTGCCTTCATTGCTCAGACCTTTGAGTATATACATTGGGATGTCATTGTTGAGGAGTCACAAGACGTTGGTGAGGCCACTTCTGGAGTATTGTATGCAGTTTTGGTCACCCTGTTATACGAATAATATTATTAGATTGGATAGGGTTCAGAAAACATTTTCCAGGATGTTGCCGGGTATGGAGGGTCTGAGTTATGAGGAGAGGCTGGATTGGCTGGAACTTTTTACATTGGAGCATAGGAGGTTGATGGGTGACCATATAGAGGGTTATAAAATTATGTGGGGCATTTTCCTCACGTGAGGGAGTTCAAAACTTCAGGGCATACTTTTAAGGTGAGAGGAGAAAGTTTTAAAAAGTACATGAGGGGCAACATTTTTATACAGATAGTGGTTAGTGTGTGGAAAGAACTGCCAGAGGAAATGATGGATGCCGGTACAGTTACAATATTTAAAAGACATTTGGATACGTACATGAATAAGAAAGGTTTGGAGGGAAATGGGCCAAATACATGGAAGTGGGACTGGTTTAGTTTGGGAACATGGTAAACATGGACTAGTTGGACTAAATGGCCTATTTCCGTGCTGTATGTCTCTAGAAATGTTGCCAGACTTGCTGAGTTTCTCCAGTATTCTCTGTTTGCTCTAGGTTTTGAGATTTGCATTCCTTTGTGTTTATTTGAGTCTCGATTTTTACAGCACTTTTGGGAATACTCAGATGGGTATGAGAGTGGTCTGGCCTGGGTTCAGGGTGGGTCAGGGAATGACCCTGTGTCCGTCCATACCTAGGCAGAAACTGATTCCATGCAACCTTACACAACGTTTTTTGTAATCAACTTTTGCAGCAACATTATGAATGACACCTCAGGAGCAAGTGGAACTTGAATCTGGGATTCCTAGTCTAGAGCTAGGGACACTACCATTTCACCACAAGAAGCCCTCAACCTTATACCTCTCATCACTGGAGAGAAACAGTGCTGCAATTCATAACCACAAAGGTCAAACCATTCTGTAACTCCATCAATTTGACCTCAACCCCTAGTTTCCAACAAGTGCTCACCAACTGGAAAAGATCAACAAACAGATAGCTCATGGCATTTCTGTCTGTCGGAGGTCATGGTGTTTTACAGAGGCTCCAACAGCCAAACTTTCCATTTACCATCTTGTTGACTGGTTTTAAGTTATTATTCACTGTTAAAGACAGGGCTGTTTCCTTCTCTCTCTCCCTCTCTCTATCTGGGCTGGGTCCTGTTTAAAGACAAAAGCTGAAATTGCTGGAAAAACTCAGCAGGTCTGGCAGCATCTCTGGAGAGAGAAACAGAGTTCATGTTTCACGTCCAGTAATCCTTCTTCAGAACTGAAAATAGCTAGGAAAAGGTTGGTTTTAGAAATCTAGGAAAACGTAGGAACAGAGACCTTGGGGTGCAGGTACAATGTTCCTTGCAAGTGGTGTCACAAGTAGACAAGGTGGTGAAGAAGGCATTTGGCACACTTGCCTTCATTGTTCAAAGCATTGAGTATAGGAGTTGGGACCTCACGTTACACCTGTACAAGACATTGGTAAGGCCACATTTGGAGTACTGTGTACAATTCTGGTTACCCTGCTACAGGAAGGATGCTATTAAACTGGAAGGGGTGCAGAAAAGATGTACAAGTATGTTACTGAGACTGAAGTGTTTGAATTATAAGGATCGGCTGGGACTTCTTTCCCTGGAGTGTAGGAGGCTGAGCGGTGACCTTATAGAGGTTCATAAAGTCATGAGGAACGTAGATAAAATGAATAGCCAAGGTCTTTACCCCAGGTTAGGGGAGTCCAAAACTAGAAGGTATAGGTTTGAGGTGAGAAGGGAAAGATGTAAAAGGGACCTGAGGAGCAACATTTTCACGTAGAGGGTGGTGCATATATGGAATGAGCTGCCAGAGGAAGTAGGAGAGGTGGGTACAATTACAAAACTTAAAAGGCATTTGGACAGGTACATGGAAGGTAAAGATTTAGAGGGATATGGGCCAAATGTAGGCAAATGAGACTAATTCAGTTTAGGAAACCTAGTTGGCATGGACAAGTTGGGCCAAAGGATCTGTTTCCATGCTGTTTAACTGTATGACTGTAAAACCAAAAACTGCGGATGTTGGAAATCTGAAACAGCATCAGAAAGTGCTGGAGAAACTCAGTAGGTCTGGCAGCATCTGTGGAGAGAAAGGAGAGTTAAAACTTTGAGTCCAGAGACCCTTTGTCAGAACGGAGTGTTGAGTTACTCAAAATGTTAATTCTGTTTTGCTTTCCACAGACACTGCCAGACCTGCTGAATTTTTGCAGCACTTCCTATTTTGGCACAGTCTTTTTGGACAGTTTGAAGGGAGGTGTGAGCAGTGAGGAGGGGAATTCTATCAGTATTTACAATGCTAACAATAAATTCCTAACTAGCAATTTGGAGAACAGTAATGAGTGGTGAACAACTTGCCATGTGCGCTTAACAACCGAGTTAACAAGGTGTAGAGCTGGATGAACACAGCAGGCCAAGCAGCATCAGAGGAGCAGGAAGGCTGACGTTTCGGGCCTAGACCCTTCTTTTGTGAAACCAATTGCAGCAACTTTTTATCAACGTGAAGACCAGTTCCCCTGTTTTAACACAGATGTAATGGGGGCTGTGGTGGAACAGAGGTAATATCCCTTCCTCTGAGCTAGGTGCCCTAATTCAAGAATCACCTTTTCCTGAGGTGCGTAATGACGTCTCTGAACAGGCCAATTAGGAAAAACTATCCAGAGTTTCTGGTCTGAAAAGGGAGTGAAGGTTTTAAAACAATGTCAGAAACTGCTGGAGAAACTCAGCCGGTCGGGCAGCATCTGTGGAGAGAAAGCTGAGTTAAGGTTTCAGGTCCAATGACGTTTCTTCAAAATGGAAGGTTGAAGTTGTGTGTCAGTCAGTAACTCCAGCCTTGCTTTTTTTCCTCTCTTTTTCCAGAGGGCACTTCTCTGACTCAGCGCAATTTCCCGGCATCTTTTTGGGACAGTAATTACCAGACTCCAGCTCCTTGCCCAGCCTCAGCAGTGAGTAGTAATAGCAGCAGCATTGACTCACCCACTTCCGAGCTCCATTTCAGCCCCGCAGAGCCTTACCCGGGTCCCATGCACCCTCACCTGGCCCAGCCACCGGAACACTGGCACTATCCGCTGGGTGCCTCCCTCAGCTCGCAGGGTGCAGCGTATCATCACCCCAGGACTATCCGCGAACTCTACCCAGTCAACCCCAACCTGGACCCCCGCTACAGCTCCTTGCTGGTGCCGACACTGCGCTCCACCCGACTGCAGCCAACCATCTCCGGCCAAGAGACCAGCTCCCCATGGACAGGGGTCTTCCCGACCGCCGAAGTGACACAGACTTTAAACTTAAACGTGGAAGCAGGTAAGCCTCTCGGCCAATTTTAAACGGAGAGGGGCGCCCACTCTGTCAATGTGAAAGGTGACTGAACCAGGGCAATAGCTGCACTCTCAGTGCAGCGTCCCTGCCTTCAACCCTGGAGGCCTTGATTCAAGTCCCACCTGTTTCAGAGGTGTGTCATAACCCATCTGAAGAGATTAATTAAAAATATCTAAGATCACTGCCCAATAATTGCATCCTGCAGCATTGCAGACAAGGACTGTCTTTTATTCCAACCTTCAGTCTCTTGTTGGATGAAGATCTCTTGTAAATTGAATTACTTCTTTATTAAAAATAGATATTAAAAAGAAATCAATTCATCACTTCTTGTTTGCTCTGATCCGCGTTCTTAATGTTAATTAATTTTAACCTTTACTGTGGCTTACATCGCAAAACTAAACACTCCACTTTCACTTTTCGATTAACAAGTGGTTTCAGTTTTAAAGTATTTTTGGGGGTGATTTTTGACCTTGTTATTTCACATTCACCCAGTAATTTGGCAACTTTATGACCTTCTATTTCTGATAGTCGGTTATGTTCCCCTCTTCCCTAGCATCTACTTTTGATTGTGTTTCATAAATTGTTTCTTAAAGGTTTGATTGATTGTATGTGAGGGTCCATCCCCAAGAGAGAGAGCACAGCCTCTGAATAGAGTTAGAGTTCTTTACAGTGAGCAGCGACAAGTTACAAATTTACATGTTGAAACCAATCATTAGTGCAATTGCTTGGCTTCATCAGTCAAAGCATAGAGTATAAAAATTGGCAAGTTATGTTGTAGCTGTATAGCACTGTAATTAGAGCACATTTGGAATATTGCATTCAATTCTGGTTGCCACACTACCAGGAGGATAAGGAGGCTTTGATGAGGGTACAGAAACAGTTTGTCAGGATGTTGTCTGGTTTGGAGGGTGTTAGTCATGAGGAGAGATTGGACAAACTTAGTTTGTTTTCACTTGAACGTTGATGGCTGAGGCGACCCGATAGAGGTTTACAAAATTAAGAGAGGCAAGGATAAAATGAATAGTCAGTCTTTTTTCCCAGGGTACAAATGCCAATTACTAAGTGACATAAGCTTAAGGTGAGAAGGGGAAAATTTAAAGGAGATGTGAGAGCTAAGTTTTTACACAGAGAGTGGTACGTGCCTGAAATACGTTGCCAGAGGAGGTGGTAGGAGCAGGTACAATAGCAATGTTTAAGAGGCATCCTGACAGATACATGAATATGCGGGGAATAGAGGGATACCAATAGCATAGAGAAAAAAAAGCTTTCGTTTAGAAAGACATTATGTGTCCTTGCAGGCCTAAGGGTCTGTTCTCATGCTGTACTGCTCTTTGTTCTTTGATAATTGGGATTCCTGGGCTGTTCACTTCCTTTGCTGGTGCAGTTCATTTCTTTACGTGGTTTCCTTTCAACCTTTCTTTTCCTTCCATCTCTCTTTCTTGTCAGGTCTTCAGAACCACGACAGAGCTAAGGATGTGTTCTGGTTTTAGACATGTGTGGCCACCAGGGTTAAGTGTTCCGGCTGTAATAATGTACTGTGATCTCGGTTACAGCTCAACCCTGCTGTCTTCCTGGAGGACTCCTCTTCAGCTGATTTCTGGAAGATTTTGGGGGCGATATAGAGAAAACTTCCACATGCACACACACAAGACATAGGCACATCTGTTTGTACATATTCCATGTCAACAATGGACTTGGGGCTAAGCTCTCTCATACTGTGAGTGGGAGAACACATGCAAAAATGTTGTAGGAAAGAGCATTCGGTGAGATTATCCCAAGGAAGGATTCCTTCAGCTCTCATGTGACTCCGAAACTGGAAAGCAGGACTGAAAAGAAATGACAATCACAGTTTTTATCATAATGAGATTGAGTTATCGTTCCCCCACTTTTTGTGATTTTTTTTGATGTGAAGAATTTCGCAGTGATTAAAGGATAAAAAAAATCAAAACATGCCTCATCGGTGGAAATGTGTGTTCTTTGGGTTCTGTTTTTCCAGTGATTTTGCTAAGAAAGGTCACTTTACACCCATGAGTTGGAATTACTGCACGTCACCAAGAGTGGCTCAAATGGTACCACGAAATGAGAAAAGATTATTCAATTTTTATTTCATCTTCCAAAATGGATCTATCAAGGAGAAAACAAAACTTATAAGAAATACATTTATCCATTTTACTTTCTTTGTCAAGTATTGCAGAAGGTAGTGGAGATGATTTGATGATCTCATTTTATGAAAATGATGATGGGAAAAGTGGATGACAAATTGATTGAATTCTGAGGAAGGGTCACTCGACCTGAAACGTTAACTCTGATTTCTCTCCACAGATGCTGCCAGACCTGGTGAGCTTTTCCAGCAATTTCTGTTTTTGTTTGTGACAAATTGATTGAGTTGCCTCATAGACAGAGGAAGGTGAATGCTAGAATGTTTAACTCAGGCTGCAGATACTCCTGGAGCTCTCATTCCATGCCTTGTGCCTACGCTACAGTATCTGGCTCAACCTGATCGGGTTCCTGTCATGGAGCCTCTTTGTAAAGGAGAGAAACCTTATCTTCTGAGAACTGTTCTCTGTAATTCAACATCTTGTAGATCAGTGAAAAATGTTCGATCAAGCATTGCTGTTTCTGTACAGTATCTTTTTAATTAAGCCAAGCAACTCTGCTAATCCCCCTCCCTATTTTGGGAACTGATATCTTCTAAGGTTGGCTTAGTCCAAACTCCCTCTGGCTTGCAGTATGTAGCTTGGAAGTGCTTTCAGTGTTAAAGAATGACATAACTCCATTCTCAATGAAGCATTGGTAGTTTAACCAGAAGATCCTCTGCTTTGTAATAGAGATCAATAGTTTTAATCAATTTGTTCAGAGGTGAGACTTGAACCCAGGTCTTCTTGGCTAGAGACAGGGACACCAGCACTACAAGACCCTCCATACATTAGACAACTTGTTTGGTCATACTATGACATGCCTCCAAGGCAGGTGGAATTTGAATCCAGACCTTCTATCTTAGAGATGGGGACACTATCATTGCGTCATAAGAACCCCTTTGTGATAGGGTGTAATATAAGATAGATTGGTTCAGTGGGTGATGCACCCGCTTTTGAGTCAAAAGTTAATGAATTCAATTCCCACTCTAGAAACATGAATACATAATCCAGACTAACACTTCACTCCAATACTGAAGGAGGATGACACTGACGAAGATCTTTCAGATCTAGTGTTTTTCTTCAGATGAAGCATCATCTTCCTGCTTCTGTGGGTCTGAAAAATCCCATAGCACTACTCAAAGATGAGTGCTGGAGATTTTCCTCATCTCCTAGCTGTTGATTATCGCCTTTACTAAAAATAATTGAATGGTCAGGTGAACACACTAGCCATAAGAACACTGCGATGAGCTGACATTGTAAAAAAAAAGTAGTATATAAATGCAAATATTTTCCTTTACTTTCTTTAGCTTGATTAGGTATTTCAGTCTTCCCTTTGGTTTGTGTACAGTGCACAGGGAGTTTGTGGTGAGCTTGAGGCTTAAAAATAAAACTACAATCAAAATGAAGAAATTGCTTCATTGCATAATACTCTTCAAATGTTGAAATCTAATTGATATTATAGTTTATATATTACTGAGACTGATAGTGGAAGGATCTTGGGCAACTTACTTAGGTACAAATATTTTAATGCCTTCTGCAAGCTCTTGCAGATTTGAAATAGCCTTAATTACTTGAAGCATCACATTCATGGTATTTGGTGAATCTTAGGTGCGACTGGTGTTTTATGAAATTTCAAGGAACAATTTTTTTTGTTGTTGCTATCCAGCATGGCTTGTCTAAATGGTTCAATGTAGATTCATATCTAATCTTGATTGATACAGTTTTAGACCATGATGACTGTCAGTACAATCATAAATGGTTATCTGAGCAAACACATTCTTCTGCAGTGGGCGTGTTCTGTGAACAATAGATTTTAGCTGCATTTTTCCTCCCCAGCTGACTCTACTTAGGTCTGCTGTCATAGTTTCGCTGGTCCTGCTGTCTTCTCTCTCTTCCCAGGAACAGATCTGGTATAGCTAAATACTGTCCACTATTTCTCCCTTCTGATTCTTGCACGTAACTTTCCTGTTGATAGGGATATTTACGTTAACCATTAACAACCTGACTCCTGCTCCCATATTCAGTATCACAAGAGGTTGTGTAGTATTTAGAAATACATCTGACATTTAATTAAACACAAGTGCTAATTAATTGCTGGCATGTTTACTGAAAACCTGCCTGTTCCTTTGTGGAAGCCTGATTTCATATAATGAGCCTTTCGAACTCTACATACATTGTCAAAAGATATTAGGGAATTCTTGGGAAATTAGATTATAAAATCTGATCCTCTGAACAGAATAATGTTGTGTAGTTTGTTGCTTTTACAAAGAAAACATGAGGTCCTTTTATAGATATTATGAGCTTTAACTAATGGTGAATAGTAGTTAACGGGATCAGTCTTGTGCAGAGTACATAGGTGAACACAAAACTGACTTTAGATGTACTAGTGGCATTACAGACACTGATTTGAGAGCCACGTGGATTTTGAGCTATAGGATCCAGCAGTTCCAAGTTATACTGCTGGATCTGCTTCAATTCCTGGCCAGTGAAAGTTGCGATCTGCAGAGTGGAGTATATTTGTTCTGAACAATATCCAAATTATAGTCAAATTTCTAATATTGCTAAATAGCAAATATAACAATTATCTCATTGTCCATCCAAGAGACTGCAAAATGAAAACTTTATAGAGTTTTAAGTGAAGAAGAGCTAGTCAGAATATTTAAACACTATTTGCTTGGCTATTTCGCTGATTTATGCTACTATTTTAATGCCATTGCAGAGTCAAAGCCATTTCACATTGATGAAGAACGGTTAGTATAACTTTCTGCTACTTTTGCACTACAGGACTATCCAAAATGCAAAATAGGAATGCCACAGTACTCAGCAATGAAGTGTTTAACTAAGTATTATTACACCTCATAACATCCAATGCATACACAAAAGGAATGTAAGCCTTGAGACATATACAATTAAAGTGTTTCATGTCATTTACACTGGTTTGATTTGAATAAAACCAATCTTAATTAGGAGGCAAATTAGGCTGTTTTTGAGGAGACCTTATTAATGTGAGCAAATGTGCTGTTTGAAAACAATGACCTGTTTAATATGCTGTACGTTAAAGAATGTCTACATCGGAATTCGATGTATTGTTGTAAACGCAACAACATGAGAATGAATTTAACTATATATAGGTATTCTTGTCACCCATTTTTATTATTATTTAAGTGTTAATATTTTGTGCTCTTGTGGAAGTCGAGCAAAAAGGTGTATCCCTTATAATGCAAATTAAAAAACTTTTATTGTACCATTGTATAACGTGATTAGAAAGAATGTCAGCTTTGTGTATCTAGTTTATACCTGAAGGCATTTTGTTATTATTGATGCTGCACTTATTATATTTAATTAACTGTTTAACTATTGTTGCCTTCCAACTTGGAGAAAACATATAGATTGTAAGATTTTGGATGTCGTACCAGTGCTTAATCATCTATCTCAGGTAGTTCAAAGAAGTTGAGAGGCCAAAGTAAGGCAAATTATACACAGAGTTAGATTGGAAAAAGTAGGCATGATAGGTTAAAAGGCATTTTCCTTTCTCATTATTGTAAACAAGTTCCATCTTTGGTCCTGAATTTGAAAAAAAACACTGCAATTTAGAATTTGCTAAGAACATGTACAATAATCTAAAATATCTTTAGCAGTATTTCAAAGATTCATAGAATTGTTGTGCTATGGAAAGAGGCCACTTGGCCTATCATGTCTACACCAGCTCCCCAAATTATTAAAGCATTCTCCCACCTTTTTCCGTATTCCTGCACATTGTTTCTATTCAAATAATCATCCAATGCAAGTTACTTTAAATCTGTGCCTCTCATATTCAATTTTTTAATACTTAGTAAAACTTTGTCCCTGTCTACTCTATCCAGACCCCAGCACAATTTTGAAAACTTGTATCAAATATCCTCCTTTTCAAGGAAAACAGTCTCAACCTCTCCAATCTATCTTCAAAATTAACATGCCTCATTATTAGAACCATTCTTGTAAACTTCTTTCAACTTCTGTCAACTGTGCATTCACATCCTTTCTGAAATGTGACAACCAGAACTGTACACAATACTTCAGCTGAGGTATCATTAAATTATAATTTTGAGACGTTGATATAAAAAAAACTATTGTACAACATTTCAAAACCTTTTCTATCACAACTATTCCCAAGTTCTTTCACCCACCATTTTCTTTCAGCTTATCTCAAATCTTGGTTTTTTTTTGAAGTTTAATCAGCTTTGAGATGGTTCTTGTATTGTAGATCATAGATTTCTAAATCATCCTGGGTTCTGTTTAATTGTATTTTGCTAATTAAATCTCATGACCTTTCTCAAACTCTCCGATTTTGCTGCCTAATTATATACGTTTAATGAGCTTTTCCTGAACTAAATAATTCATGTTCACTGGAAGCACATACATTCATATGTGATCTTTCAAAGGCACCATGTACACAACTTCTACTCGTCTCACTAGGCTGCATTTGATGCCATGAAATGTTGTTCTGACATACACCACACTGTCAAATCATGTGAATTTTAGAATCAGTGATGCTACTGTGGACTGCTTATAGATACACTGCACATAGCCAACAGTTATATTCTTCATTGTGGGAAAATAGCTGCTTCTTAAGATAGTGGTGACATAGCAGCTGCAATAATACCATTCATGTATTCTTAGAAAAGTGAGGTCAGATACCATTCTTGTCCATCACCTCAATTAGGATTTACCTTAGATGGTGAGCTTTCATAAGCGGAAAACTCTTTTTTGAGTGCTGGAGCCTTTAGCACTTGAGTGTGGCTCTGGGTGCATTGATAATGGAACATCTTTTGCAGCGCTATAGACATTTTATTGAACCAAGCCACCCTTTCACCTTGATTGAGTACAACATTAATGCAATGACAATTAAAGGAGGACAATTTTAAAACTTATGCAATGGGAATGAGTGCCAATACAGTTTAATTAACTGACGAGGGGAGTACTGTAAATCCATTCATCCCTATTGTCAACTGAATGAGCCGCGAATGGGTCCTGTGCTTTGAAAGGTGAACATATCTATCTGCTTAAAAATGACATGATGGTTGAGGCCTTCTATGTGGTTTTGATTCATGTATTTTGAGGCATGAAGAAGGGTCCAGACCCGAAACATCAGCTTTCCTGATCCTCTGATGCTGCCTGGCCTGCTGTGTTCATCCAGCTCTACACCTTGTTATCTCAGATTCTCTAGCATCGGCAGTTCCTACTATCTCTAACAGAATTAGGCCGTTCAGATTTCGGATCATATTCGACAGAGAGGTGTTCAGCAAGTCACCATCTGCATCAGAGGTGATGCTAAGAGCAGAGACTCCTGGCTGTTATAGGTCTGAAGCTTGGACCTTT